AAAATAAACACTCTAGCAACCAACTAAAAACCAACTAAATTATATTTTCAAGTATAATTAATTTTCTAAATTCTGGCAGTTATTAGCTATTTCTTAGTAGAAGGATTTAGCTCTTTCCTTGTTTCTCACCACCACTGCCCTTGAACTTTCCAATTTTTGTTTTAATGACATCATGTCAAAAGTGGACTTGGATAAGAATATTATGCTTTACCTTTTTTATTGCTTTTCTTTAAAATCCAGTTCCTATTGTGCAAATATATGGATACTATGGTAATAGCATATTTACAGCTGCTTAAGCTGATCATATCTTTGTGCAGAATTTCAACATAGTGTGTATGTATATGTATACATAGTGTGTATATGTATATATGCAGATATATCTAGCAGATTAAGCTAAAGAGCAGTACGGATTTCATGACTGCAGTCATTTTAAAGCGCTCAACCCCTTGGATATCATTCTACAGAAGTACTGGACTGAGAGCCCAGAGACTGACCTTTTAGGAAGTTTTCATGCGTCTCTCATACATTCCCTGAAGTTTCGGTTTCTAAGAATGGTCTTAAGAATCTCAGTCGACATGATTACAGCAATCATTGTTAAAAGGAGCTCAAGAAGAATTTAAGCACTTTGTATTTCACTACTACTAATGCAAGCTTGAGGACAAGAACTGTTTGCTTATTTGTTTTGAAAGAAAAGGTTTACTGTAGAGAACTGAGTCTCACATTGGTTTGTATTTTAAGTAATATTGTAGGAAGGGTTAGATATTTTCAAAAGTGGGAAAAATTTTTAACTTTTATTTTTATTGAATATAGTTGATTTAAATGTGTTAGTTTCTAGTGTACAGTGTAGTGATTCAGTTATACATATATGTTCTTTTTTATATTCTTTTCCATTATAGGTTATTACAAGATACTGAATATAATTCCTTGTGCTATACAGTAGTACATTGTTTATCTATCTTATCTATAGTAGTTTATATCCCTTTTTCCTCTTTGGTAACCATAAGCTTGTTTTCTGTAAGTCTGCTTCTGTTTTGTAAATAAGTTTGTATCATTCTTTAGATTTCATATGTAAGTGGTATCATGTGATATTTGTCTCTGTCTGACTTAATTCACTTAGTATGATACTCTGTAGGTCCATCCATGTTGTGCAAATGGCATTGTTTTATTCTTTTTTATGACTGAGTAGTATTTCATTGTATAGATAGATACCACATCATCTTTATCCAGTCATCTGTCAGTGGACATTTAGGTTGCTTCCATGTCTTGGTTATTATAAATAGTGCTGCTATGAACATTGGGGTACATGTAGCTTTTCAACTTAGAGTTCCCTCCAGATATATTATGCCCAGGAGTGGGATTGCTGGATCATATGGTAAGTCTGTTTTAGTTTTTTGAAGAATCTTCATAGTGTTTTCCATAATGGCTGCACCAAACGACATTCCCACCCACAGTGGAGGGTTCCCTTTTCTCCACACCCTCTCCAGCATTTATTGTTTGTGGACTTTTCAATGATGACCATTCTGACATGTGTGAGGTGACACCTCACTATAGTGTTAATTTGCATTTCCCTAATGATCAGTGATGCTGAGCATCTTTTCATGTGCCTGTTGGTCATCTGTATGATTTTGTTGTTGGTCCATGTTCCATGTTCGATGTCAGCGGGCCTGTTAAGCCTTTTCTGGTTACCCCAGCCAAAAACATTCCTTCTCTTTCTTGTAATGCCATATAATTTAGTGTTGCCGTAATGACACATTATAACATACAGTTTTATATCTGTGCAATTGGGCTTCAGACCAAATGAAAGACACTGATGACCTTCTAATTATCAGTTTCAAGAGGAGTCTTTTCCATGCCTTTCTTGATGGCCTCTGACACTATTAACCACTCATTTTTCTAAATCTTCCTCTTGACTTCCTGACAGCACAGTTTTCACCTTTGACAGCTGCCTGTCTGTACTTACACACTTATTACCCAGTTCTGACTTTTGATCATCTTCCCCTCTCCTTGCTATGGGCTGAATTGTGTCCATCCAAATGCACATGTTGAAGCCCCAAGTCCCAGTGGGGTGGTATTTGGAGGTGGAATATTTGGGAGATGATTAGGTTTAGAAGAGCTCATGAGGGTAGCAGATCCTCATGATGAGATTAATGCTTGTCTAAGAAGAGATACCAGAGAACTTGCTCTCTCCACCATACTAGGATCTAGTTGGAGGGTGACCATCTGAAGCCAGGGAGAGAGCTCTCACCAGAAACCAGACCCCACTAGAACCTTGATCTTGGACTCTCCAGCCTCCACAACTGTGGAAAGATAAATTAATTAAGTCTCTCAGGCTGTGATATGTTGCTCCAGCAGCTCAAGTGGACTAGGGTGGCCATCTCTTCCCCTGGGTTCCTTCTTCTCCATTCTGTCTCCATTTTGCTCTTATGCGTTTAGACAAAAGTCAATACCTATACAATATCTGGCAAGTATTAGTTAAATGTTAGCTATTATCATAACAGAATGTATTATAACAGAATAGCTGTTATTGTAACAGAATTATAACAGAATGTATCATAACAAAAAGATATCAGGACTTTACCCAGATGGATTCATTTTGGGAGGAGGGAAACTCAAACTTGAAGTGTCTCTAGCTTTTGGACTTTGGACAAAATATATTATCTTTCCATAGCTTGGAATTGGAGATTTTCTCATTGTTGAAAGGCAGACTTTAGTAGCTATTACTAAATGTAAGTAATGATAACGTAGACTAAACTTCTATTGCCAGTGGATATCTTTTAACAGCCAGGAGCTAGATACCAAAATAATCATATTATCCA